CTGCTTTCTCTCTTTTGCTTATAATATAGCAAATTACTCCTTCCTGGTGAGCCACTACCTACGGCAGAGTGGAAAGATTATCATGATCACACTCAACCACTCAATTCCCCATTTCATAGCCTCTAGGTGATACAGGTATCTGAATGAAAAAGATATTAAACAGTAAAAATTTCCATTATAAAACAGTATTATCTATAAGACAGGCCTATTTATGAAAAGAACAAGAATATGAAATTGTATTTCTACCACCTTTTTATATATTATATTAAAAATAAAGAATTGAGTTTAAGAGTAAGTGGAATACATTATCTGCTGAGAAGGTGTTTATGGAGTGACAGGCTGACTGTGTGCAAATTTCTTTCATCAGAAAAATAAAAGAGCATTTATAATCACTTTTTTAATTTGCTTTCTTTTAATTTCTTTTCTCCCTCATATCCATCTGTCAAAATGTCATTATCAAGATATTTATAAAATACAGAATTGATTTAAAAATATTGTTCTAATTAAGAACTTTGCTGGATCACTATCATATTCTAATTAAATATTGTTCTAATTAAGAACTTTGCTGGATCACTTTGCTGGATCACTATTATGTCCTAAAGCAAATCTGACTTCCTTAACTTGATAAAAAGATTCTTTTAAAATACCACCCTTCCGGGCCTTCCCGGTGGCACAGCAGTTGAGCGCTGGGTTGCGAAGCTGCCCGCGGCCTCTGCAGCGCGGGTTCGACCCCCGGTTGCTCCCCGGCCACTGGAGGAGGGTCCCACATGGCGCGCAGACCTCTCCTGCCGCCCGCTGCTCCCCTCAGCAGTGTACTTCGGTCCTTCTGCCTGCTCTGCTCCCCGCTCTGGCTCTGGTGAATTCTCTCACCCTCCCGCGCTTCTGACTGTACCCAGTGCATGTATAAACAAAAAACAAACAAACAAACAAATAAATAAATAAAACATGCCTCTATTAAAAAAAAAAAAAAAAGAATCAAAAAAAAAAATAAAATAAAATACCACCCTTCCTACCTTTCCAAGTCTATCTTTGTCCTCTGTACCAAGGACTCTTTATTATAACATAAAAATAACAAAGTGACAAACAGTTCCTGAACTTGCCAGATGCTATCACTCCTCTACGACTTTTCTCTTCCTGTGCCTGTTGACAAAGAACGCCTTCTGGCCACCTCTTCACTTGTGAAACTCCTACTCATCCTTCTGTATCCAGCTCAAATGTCCCTCCTCTGTGAAGCCCTCCAGGCAGGACACATTGTTCATTCCCTTTTATATCCTATAGTCTTTTGTTCAGATAAATGCAAAGTTGTTGCAAGAAACTTTGATTTATTGTGTACAGGTTTTTCCTCATTTACAACCCATAAAATCCTAGAAGGGGCAAGAACATAGTGTATTCACTCTTGTAATCACAATGCCTAATATGGAATGTATCAGGCATTTGATATTAATTCTATCAGTGGAGAAGTAACTCCTTTGTAGAATAACTACTCAGTAACATAGCAAGGAAAATCTGCTCTCATCATTATTAAAGTCCTTGAAAGGATGCTGTTATCTCATGGTCACAGAAGACAGCCTGAGAGATCATAAATGTAATCTCTTCCTGATGCTTCCCTTTCAGCAGAATCTTTTTAATTTTCAGAGAATTGCTCCAACCTACCTAGCACTTTGTCATAGTGTTTGGTGTTAGATAATGATTACCAAATTGTCCATAAGCTTTCTTCTGGGAAAAACTTAATGTGCTTTATCATTATTTTCTAAATTCTCTTTTTATTCTATCAGTGGGTCCACAATTGGTGATCATAAATGGGCAACCTCATTTGGCATATGGTACTAAATTCAAATTTTTCTATTCCCTCATAGTCTTGGAGACTTGAAGGCATGAAGAAATACAGGAGAAGGACAAATAAGGACATGTGAAATACAGACAGCACACATGGTGCCGTCAGGAGGGAAGGCTCACAGATAGGCTGTCAGCTAAAGAAAATTAAATATATAAAAACAAACAAGAGGATGCCTACAGGGAACATGGTAGTGTGTAATGTTTCTCATATTTTTCTCTAGGTATAGGAATCTTAGTCATAAATCTGTGGTGGATATAATGAGTTGTCTAACCTATCACTTATTCTTAGTAACACAACCCTGAATTCATTTGAGGCAGCAACATGTGCAAAGGACAAACTGCCAACTTTACTGGCAATGTGGAGGCTGTGACTAAGTGATGGCCAATAAATTGTAAGTGGAGATAACATGTGGGGTTTCAGCAAGTCTATTCAAGGGAAAAGTACCTTCTTTTTTAGTTTTTTTGTTTGTTTGTTATTCTTGCTGTTGTATTGGATGCACATGTAATGACATTTTTTAAAAAGATTTATTGGGGCCTCCCTGGTGTCGCAAGGGGTTAAGCACCGCACTATGAAGTAATCTGCAGACTCTGCAGCCTGAGTTCGATCCCTGGCCAGCCAGAGAGACCTCTGTCTGAGGTCTGACCTCTGCTGAGAGACGCAGCAGACCTCTCCTGTCTCTCCCGCTGCTCCCCTCAGCAGTGTATTTCAGCCAGTGTGCCTGTTCTGTTCCCCACTCTGTCTCTGGTGAATCCTCTCGCCACCTGCATCTCTGGCCTATACCCTAGATCTTGTATGCATAAATAAATAAATCTTTAAAAAATAAATAAAAAGATTTATTGTATTTACTTTTGCATACAAGAGCTGGGGTATAGGCTAGAGGTACAGGGGTTAAGAAGATTCACCAGAGACAGAGTCAGGAGCAAAACAGGCAGATCTACTGAATACACTGCTGAGGGCAGCAGTAGGCGAGACAGGAGAGGTCTGCTGCACCGTATGTGGGTTAGCTCCCTGGCCAGGGATAGAACTCATGCCTCAGTGGCTCATGATAGCTTAATAGCACTGAGACATTAACCCCTGTGCCACCAGGGAGGGCATGCAATGACTATTTTTCAAGCAGTCATTTCAGACTGTGGGACACATACTAAGGAATGTAGAGCATCAAGACAGAGAAAACCTGCCTCCCTTCCCTGAGATCCACCAGAGTTGCAGAGACACCAGGAACACTTATGTCTGGCTTCCCACGTAAGAAAAATCAACCTCTACATTGTTTAAGCTAAGGTTTTAATTTTTTTTGTTTTCTCCTATTGATAAACTACTCTGTCCTCAAGGAGTTTACTCCAGAGCAAGAATATGTGGCATGATGTAAAGATTTAATTCTGTGTAATCACTGGATTAATGAACAGTTAAACTGCAAGGAAAAGTACTATACTCTGGTAACTCACCAGCAAAACTAGTTAAAAGAAAAATTATAAAATGTTTATATGAATATAGGAATATGGTAAAGCTGTGGAGAGATGCACAAAACTATTAACATTTATTACATATACTTTATATTAATTTCTTACAATGACCAAGTAATACTTTCAAGGTTTAAAAAATTTTAAATTGAAAATATTTAAAAATAAGAGAAAGAACCAACACACCTTTGTATGAAGGAAAACTGTATTTTTCTCTATATCTTGCTTTTTTAAAGAGGGAATTACATACATTTTTGTGTCCTCAGATAGCTGTATTTTTTTTCATAATTCTTACATTATTTTTCATTTTTGCACAATGTATGCATTTTCATTTTGGTTATATTACTCAGCAATCAAAAAAGATATCTGTATTCGTATCCCTGATTCCATAACAACTAGATGTAGTAATTTAAGGAAATCATATTCTTGAACCTTAGTAAAATGAGAATGTTAAAATTTCTTTCAGCACAAGAATTCTGTAAATTTAGTAATATGTTTGGTTCAGTAGTTATCTCATTACATTTCTCCAATCTGAATTCTATGAATTCAGAAGTTTTTAAAATGAGTTAGTTATGTAGTTTTTATGTGTCTATTTATGAGACAGTGGTGACTAACACATATAAATGCCATAGAAGGATAAGACAGGAAACTCCAAATGCCACTGTCTTCTACATTGCATAAGGGCTTCCCATACACTAAACATGATATTTCTTAAGGTGTTAATCTTTTTTGATTTACATATCTGTTCCTTGGATTCTGTGAGTTCGTAGGATGGCATCTCCCTGATGCTCATCACTGGTCTGAGTATACAGTAAGTAATTTTGCTAGAGAGATGAGTGAAAAAAGATTTTTATCAAAATATGATGATAATTTAAGAAAGAATAATGGTTGTTAATCTTGTGACTGATAACTTGAAATCTTGTCTTTTTCCTTTATAATCCAAAGTAAGATCTTAGTTGATTTGTGATGTATTCATTACAAAAACTTTAGCGATTCTTGGTAACTGTTGTTTTACTGGCTGTAAGACTATTGCCTGATCTGTTTTGCCATCAAGAAAAGAGAGTCAGGTTCATACTGACAGGTCCCAATAAGCGAATGTTCTGTCTTCTATGTAAGCATAGTAAGTGCATACTGCAGGTTGTGTGCTGCACAAAGGATTTCTTCAGCATTTTCTGGATGGCTGGGCGAGGACCTGGGAAACAAGGACCTTCACATAGCTCATAGCTCATCTCCAGGATTGGGGGCCTCTGGCAGTGAAACCCCAACTGCAGCCCTTATCTTGTGAGACTATCAGTGCCATGAATAAGAACTAGGGACTACTCATTCTCTTTGTTGTCCCATATGTCATCTGAATTAATGTCACTTTCCCAAAGAAAAGTAAATAAGTGATAAAAGGTTCATGGTTTTAATTCTAATTACAAGCTCTGTTCCTCCTTGTCCTATGTCTGGGGATGGTCTTTTTACTCCTGATTGGGCCCAAGCATAGGTCCTGCCCAAAAGGCAGGTGTAAAGCGCTGACCTGTAAAGTACTGACCCTACTGTTCAAACAAAGTGCTCTTAAATTAGCCTTTAAGTCCTCGTGCAAGTGGGGTCTGCACGAGTGGTAGAGTATTACTTATCTATATATTCCTCAGGGAGAGTCACACCAAAAGTAAAAAATATTCCAAATAACAATGAAAGTCAAATATAAGCATTAGAGTGCATACCACAGTAGCCTGGGGTTCCGCATACTGTCTTCATGAGCACTTGATGTTCCACAATTTTAGAGAGCCCAAAATCAGCTGACAACACAAGAAAAAAATTAATGAAGCAAGTCTTTTCTCAAATTTTATGTGATGACAGAATGTTTCTCAGGCTGGATAATTCTGAGGACAACTTATTTATTTGTTAATTTTTCATCTTTCACGATGTGCTGAAGACCAGTCAGCTATGAGAGGAAACAAACAAAAACTTCAACTCCTGCTTTAATGGGAGAAAAATGCGACTCCCAAATACACTTAATGCTTTTCTCCTTAATGCCTACTTTTTAAAGAAACAAGTTATTTCTCTAAAGGTAGTAGCTGTAAATATATTTCATGTAATATTAATTCTGAAATTTATGAAACAGTAAAGGACAATGTAGAGCTAGTGCTACAATTGAGAATTTTTAATTCAATAGAAAAAATCAAAATATAAAGTTAAACTTTCATAAATATCAAGGAAAAGAACAGAAATATCACAAGATTGGGTCTACTTCAAAATAAATAATGTCCTTCCCTAGTGTATTTGACAGTAAGAATTTATTCTTATATGAATATATGAATAAGATTTTTTGGGTAAAAACCTTTTTTTTTTTATTTATTTCTCAGGATATCACAACTAGTCAAAAGTTGCTACATTATGGTCTATTTGCTGGACTACATCTCTCTCAATCTGGAAACATCAGGAAATTGCTCAGGGCCATTCTTCAAGAGAGGCAGATGCAGAATTGATGCCATTTTAGACTTCAAAGATAAACCTACATTTCCATGGAACCGCTTGATCCTTATCAGGGGAAGCAGCAGGAAGTCCTTTGGAAAGAAAGGCTATCCTGCCTAAATTTGTATCTATCCATCCATTTAAAGAAATTTCTTTAGGGATAAAATCTTTGAAAGAGATGTCAACGGAAATGAGAGCCTCCCTGCTGCCTGCTGCCTTTCAGGAGTGATTATGAGAATAAGGCTGCCCAGCAGGACTTCAGCGTTTTTTCTTTAGATTCTTGTATTCATAAAGTATATTATGTTGTCTCAATTCTTCTATGATATGCACAAGTTGATATTAAAAGGTGTTAACACTTGTAAATGCAGTGAATTCATCAGATTAGCATTACAAAGAACAGTACTATATGAGCAATGCCTTTTAGAGGATTGAATACATAGTAGCCTAAGGTGAATTTACAAAATTGTGTGTATGTCTGCATGTGTGTGTGTGTGTGTGTGTGTACCTGCTAATAAAGATTTGCTTTGGAAAGGCCACAGAATATAAGACTTAACATAATTTTTTTTCCCTAAGTCTTTGATTTCAAGTAATTTTGGGGTAGATCATAATATCCCAAAGTGCATCATTCTTCATAATGCTTATTGGAAGGAAAAAAAAAGGTTTCCAAAGTCAAACGAGGTATGAAAAAAGTGTTACAGTTTACTATATAAGGGATCAATCTACCATTAACATTTTTAAGATTCAAGGAAATTTGTAGGAAAAAAGTCTTGTTTAGCTTTGTATGAGCTGGTATTTCCTATCTTATTTGACCAACCTTAGCACCTCTCCAAACCACAGTAAACACTGAAAAATCAGTGTTCTGGGGAGTGTACTATGGGAAATACAGATCTTAATTTATCTCTATTCATACAAGTGACTCAGCCTAAATTCACTAACACGAACTAATGAAGTGGGCATTTAGTGTCAAAGTTCTTGATTATCTAAAATTAAATTCCAACTAATTTGTGGAATAAAAGCTAATTGCCAAAAAAGAAGTGTTACACTCTCTGTGATTTTCTTTTACATAAACTTATCTACAAAAATACATGTTCACCTCCGCATTCCTTGTCATTTCTAAAAGCTCTAATTCCTTTGTTTGTATGTCCCTCAATGGAGCACCAGCCTCTAGGCACCATCCACACTGGTATTCCAGAAAAGAACTCAGACTTCCAAAATGACTCAATATTCTTTTGCAGAAGCCAGAAGTTAAATGGAGGTAAAACTGAATGGAGTGATATTTTAAAATTCCATGGAATAAATTTCTTCTGCTCTATAAAAAGGGGTCATAACACACCAGGAAATGTTCTCACCAATTTTGAGTGGTGCATCTGGGGCTGGAGTTGCATAGAGAAGGTTTTCTGGTTTGAGATCACGATGAACAATCCCATTTTCGTGGAGGTACTAAATAGGAAGAATAATGAAGCAATATTCATGAAATTATAGTTATGCTTTCAATATTTTCATCTAATATTTTCAGAATATATTTGCTACCTTATGCGATCCTACAACTTACACATTTTATAATTTAAAAATAAATGACATAAAGAAAAATATGCTTTAAACTACATATCATCAAAGAATAGCTTTTATATAGTGAACTGAAAATAAAATAATATTTAATTGTATAGAGCCAAAGGTCATTGTTGAAAAATTTCTCCCCAGAGAAAATTAGTTGCATTTCTCTTTATGTATCTGTAGTTTCAGCCTCACCTAAAATTTTCAGTCTTTTCCCAAGATTTCTAGAGTAGACATTTTCTAATACACATCATTTTGGTACACAGAACTATGATCAATCGAAACCTAGTGAGCCTCTGAAGAAATTGCTACTATTACCTCAAAGAATGCAGATTTAGGGACATCTCCAGAAATAATTATTTTATTGGAGAAAGCTATCTTCAGATAGGGCAAATATATAGAAGCAAGGTTTTGTCATAGAAGTCATCCTGTCCTCATTGTGTGAGACCCCCTTCTTTCTCCTTGACTCTCTCAGTCCCTATTCCATTCCTTAGCTCAAGATATAGCCTCCCAGTTTGCCCAATTTCTTTAGAATTTACAACCATGTAAATATTCTGTATACATGCTACCACATTTGTTCTTATTCTCTTACTAATCTGTGTGATGTTAATTTGTTTGCTTGTTCAGTGCAAAAAGAGCCCAGAACAGTGGGGGAATATTCCCCTTCATTTTGACACATTTAACCATATCAGCTAGGATTAGATAATCATAGTAAAGTCAAAGGTTTTGTGTATTGAAATGTATCTGGTTTATTATCTGAAAATAATAGTTGTGTCATTTTAGAAATCATGGTCATAGCAAAGATCTCATAATTATTATTTGACCAAACACCTAGATGTAAGTAGTTACTACAAAAAATTAACTTTAATATGATACATATTGTTTAATAGAGATGATTGATCTTCAAAGTAAACCCAACTACCTATAGAAACATAGAGGATTATATTTGACATGAATCTTACAGATCACCTCTAGCCACTCCACACATTTTATTGCATTTTAAATTAATTTCTAAATGTATTCACATTTTTATTAATTTATGTTTTATTTATATATTTTACATCATTGTGTAGTCTCCATAAAATTCCCACCACCAAGTCACTTGTGAACCATCATCATACTCCCTTGTGCTCTTCTTTCTCCTGTTTTGATTCTTTTTCCTCCCTCTCTCTTGCAGAATGTCTCTGATTTACGGTTGCCTGCTAATTTTGTTTTTTTTATTATAGTTATTTTTTTTTCTTGATCCATTATTTGGTTCCCCTATATTCTTCCTATAAGTGAAACCATCCAATAGTTTTCTTTTTCCTTCTGGCTTATTTCACTGAGCATGATCCCTTCTAGCTCCATCCATGTTTGTAAATACTGAGGTCCTATCTCAGTCTCATATCCCTCTGCAAAAAGTTTTCAGTTTATACATTTTTATGCATTTACAAACTTAATTGTATGTATAAAAGTGATAGCCTTAGTTGTTTATACTTTTTTACATAAAACACTACTAGTGTGAAGTTTTGCACAGCTTTTTTCTCACTAAGCAATGTCTTTGAAACCTTTCCATCTATTTCCCCTTGTTTGTTCTGCTTATCTCTTGCACCCATCTTGTTGGATGAACTATCATTTATTTTGCTATTCTCTTTTGCATGTCCAAATTTAAAAATTGGAGATTTTTAAAATTATAAATAATGCAGTAAAAAACATTTCAGCATTTAGATATTTTAGCATTTTTCTGTTTTTTTCTATAGTACAGGTATTGGATAGCAAGTCTAGTGGGATCAAAAGATCATAATCATTCCCAAAAACACCATCACTTTTTACTCACAAAAATAGTGTATATATGTGTATCTTTCCTTAATATCTTACCAAATCTATACTTTTTATTTTACTGGGCTAGAACATAGCAATTTAACTGTAAGATCAGTCAAAAAAGTTTTATCTTCAAACTGAAATTTGAATAATTATATAATTCCTTTTTGTTACTGTTCTATAGTAGCATAAAGTTGATGATTATGGCTGAATTAATTTATTCACATGCTTTGAAGTTGATCTGAATATCTAATACAGACTATGCCTCAGGGGAGTGTGGGGAAAGACAGTTGAAATTTCATCTGTTCATTTTTTCTTCTGTTCCCTTGATGTCTGAAACATTCATAAATTGCACTTGCCAGTGTACTAAAATGGAACTGAGTATCAATGTGATCAGCTATAATCACACATTTAGTGAGCAGTGGATAAGCATAATGCCTCCATTTATAAATCAAGGTGCCCCGCTGGAGTCCAATGTGAGCATGAAGACCACAAAGATGCCATTGTTCCTGCAGTAAGAATTCTATGTGTACAACACTGCTTAGGTATGGGGGTAGCCTAGAGGTATTGGGTTAAAGAAAAATTTGCTAGAAAGTGTTTGCTGGGCTAGTGCTATTATGGAGAAAGGGAGCTGGATGTTAATAAAGAGGATAATTACAAGTGCCATTGTGAAGGAAAACCTAGGGTGTCAAGTTAGAATGACTGATAGTCAAAGAAATCAAAGAGTTCAGATAGAAAAGACTATAGCTCTTGTTTCTGATTTGGTACAACTCTCCTGGTGTACCAATTCAGAGTGGGAAACATTGATACTTCCAACAGGTTTCATTTCCTGTATCAACATATGTGCATGTCATAAGACTCTATTAAGTACATATTTCTAGTAACATTTTGTATTTATAGGAATTGTTTATATGACACCGTTGAAAAATATGTTTATCTATACTTTCATCCAAAGCTTCAATTCAAAAATTAAAATATTCACCAAGTATATATACACCATGGAATATTACTCAGCATTCAAAAAAGATAAACACATGCAATTTGCAGCAACATGGATGGTGCTGGAAAGGATCATGCTCAGCAAAATAAGCCAGAAAGAAAAAAGAAAAATACCGGATGGTCTCACTCATAGCAGGAATCTAGAAAACCTAAATAAGGGACCAAGAAAAAGAATAACTATAGGAAAGTAAAAATCAAAATCAACAAACAGCTATGAACCAGAGACACTCTATGCGGGCTGGGGGAAGGGGAGGGGAGGGATTCGGGTCAAAATAAGGGGGTTGCAATTGTATGGGGAATAAAAAAATGAAATTTATAATAAAAAATAAATAAAATATTCACCAAGACTGCAATAAAACATATCACTGAATTCAATAATAAGTGAATGGTTACCATATTCATTTAGGAATCATGCAAAATATTAATGGGAAAAAACTATGTGCCTTATTTAAACATTTAAGTCCCATGCCTACAGAATACAAAATATAAAAAAAGTACAATAATAGCAGTAATGTACATGAAACCCAAACTAGTGAATCAGCATATACAATTTATTTTTAATAAGATTAGAGCAAATGCAACTTTCCAAGGGGATTTGAGAATGGTTAAAGAAATAAAGTTGGGATAATTTCATTTTCTTATTTCGAGTATATATGGTTAAGTTTCAGAAAATATGAGCTTTTAAGGATGCTGGCTGTGGAAAGATTTTTTCCTTTTGTAATGAGAAAGAAGGTTGGGGTACAAAACAAAAAAAAGGGAGCTCCTGTATCTGCATGCTTGGTCAAGCAGAGTCTACAGAGTCTACAGAAATCCAACTCTTCACACTGTCACAGAGGCTACTGTGCAGGATTGAGAATTAATACAGAAACATTCCATCCCCCTGCAAAGTGATGAACTACTTCACAGGATGAAAAAACTGGGGGTATTATCATTACAGGTGACTGCTTCAGACAACAGTATGTGCTCTATATGTTAATAATTAATACAAAATTAACAAAATAAAAAAGAGGATATTCAGGATGTATCAGAAAATCAAAGATCTTAGATGCAAATGAAATGTGTATTAAATATGACAAAAAGTAAAAATCTGTGCATTTTCCTTGGAAAACATTTATTTCCACAGACATAAATGTGATTCCTAAATCAAATATATATTAAAGAAGATGTGGAACTAAAAAAGTAAAGAAAAAAAAAACTAAATATGCCATTTGGTCTTTAAAAAAATGCAATCTCTTTTAAACTAAAGCTCAAAATCTCTTTTAAACAAACAAACAAAAAAAATCTCTTAAACAGAGAAAGACAATACTGCTCTGAATTTCTGAATTCAGGGGTGTCTAGACATGTAATTAAACTCTCTCTATGGTCCTAACAAAAACTGTGTCATTGTGTAATGAAAGCTACTGCACAGTAATTTAGTTTAATTACAGTTATGCTGTGTTTGATGGACTGTGTGTAGTTAATTGATAATGTCTCAGGAGCTGGTAGGAGGAAGTCTGAATCTCTTTAAAAATCTAACAGAACAAAGAAGAACCAGTCATTAAAAAAAAGAAAACGGTATTCGGACTACAGTTCTCCAACTGGGAAGAAAAATTGAATTCCATGAATTTGCTCTTCTCTACTCCGCAAAAGATTTAGAATCAAAATATATAACTTTAAAAACTTCAAATTGTTGGGGGGGGCGGATCAACATGGCAGCAAGGAGACGCTGCGAATAAGATCTCCCATTAAAAAAAAAGTTAATAGGGAGGAAAAGCAGCAGTTCCCAGTTTGAACTGGGACACGTAAGATAAACAGGTGACTCCAGCAAACTACCTGAAGAAGAAAGTTGCCATAAAAGAGGACTAGAAGGGAGGAAAGCACAGAACCCTGCTACCCTCCCCCACCCACAAAGTCGGCACTCTCCGATCAACAGGAAAGAGGAAAAAAAAAAACTAAAACCAACAAGAACAAACTACGCATCAAGCGAGACTGTGAGTGGGAAGGGATTATTTCAGCCACCACACCCCGTGAACTGGGGCTGTAGAGAACCCTGCAGGATTCACTGTGGCGGTGAGCGAACGGCTCCAGGCCCCATTAGAGAACAACAG